AACTCTTCTATTTCTGTTGCCATAATTAGTCTTTAGAGGCTACACAAACTCAGGAATCCACAGAAATAGTCATATACAGCTAAAACAGCACTTCAATGCCCCTGTGCTACAGACATGACTGAGGGCACTGACTGCCATGCTATAATTTTCCGCTGTTTTGCTCAGACACAGATACTATGGTTGGAGCTAAACTTGAAGAGGTTTGTCCCAAATAGCTGGAACATACTGGTTTTCATGCCGAGTCTAGAAGCAAATCCTAGCTGATGTTTAGGTTCTACACGGAATAAATAGTAGTCTAGGAAGCAAACAGTTTGAGAGCCAGAATGATAACAGACTGGGAATAAAAACAAGGAAGTTCATGTGTATAAATGTGTTCTTTTGCCTAATCACATTATGTTAACAATCTGTCATCAGAGCGAAGGAAGGAGCTGCCAAAGAGAGAACTAGAGCAGAATATACCTGCCCACTTCAGAAAAATAATTTGGAAAAATCTGAGTAATCCAGCACACATTCTCTTATTGACAAGAACATTTGTGGGACTTATATGTAGCTGCTACTTGATCTCAATAAACTTATTATAAACATATCAGAATGTTTTTATTCCTGATTGATAAGTATTCAATCCTTCATACTAGCCAAGGAAAGATAATTCAGCAAATAAACCTAATTGTTTGCTCCTAAAGGTTTTCTGCTATGATTAAACTAAAACACATCTGAAGGATCTCATATGGTGTGTATAAAATGGTTACTCCAAAACCAATTACCTAATTAGTCTCATTCATATATTCCTGGTGACTCTAGAGCATAGAACACTCCAATAGGAGGCCGGAGGCAAGAGTACAATGTCCTGACTTCTAAGGTTATTGCTAGAGTCTGTCAGATTCTGCAGAGGTACCTAACTGGTAAAGCCTGCTTCTAAATAAGAGTGGGATGGGCCGGGCGGTGGTGGCGCACGCCTTTAATCCCAGCACTTGGGAGGCAGAGGCAGGTGGATTTCTGAGTTCAAGGCCAGCCTGGTCTACAGAGTGAGTTCCAGGACAGCCAGAACTACACAGAGAAACCCTGTCTCGAAAAAACCAAAAAAAAAAAAAAAAAAAAAAAAGAGTGGGATGGACATGCTTTGCATCAACCCAACACTGTAAAATATACCGTGTTTCTTCTCTCACTGTGACTGGCCTAGAGAAGAGGAATGACTGCAAAACATTCACATTACTTTAGTAACCACACTTGCCTTTCTACCTGGTACAGAACAAAGGCACTGTGCTTATAATGCAATGAGAGAATTAACTTGGATGGGGAGACACATGACTGAACCCCAAGTTCAACAATACCTATTTCTGCTTTTACCACTAAAGTATCTGACTCCTTCCTGAATATATATAATGGGTACTGGTCTCTAAATCTCTGGAGCCTGGTCCTCATTACTCTGGGTAATGTGCACGAGGGTTGCCAGTATGACACACGAAGCCAGCTCTCCATTTCAGGTCCACCCTGTTGAATGTGTGACAGGGTAGCATAACACTCAACTGCCTCACCATCTGCTTGGTCCCAAGCTAACGGCAGACACTGGTTTGCAGGAGTGAGTCAGTAAATCTTCCTGGGGAAGCATACACACACACTCATCCTCCCATAGTTACCACTCGTTCCCAGCAGGCCCTCTGCAGACTCCTCACAGGCAGGAAAGTGGGCTAGCTTCTACACATCTCAGGTTGTCAGCTAATGCTGGAAACAGTTACTCCTCTGAGCCTACTCTCCCTGTCAGTCATTTTTACCCTGCTTCTCAGATCTCACATATCTGCCTGGCAGCTGGGAAAATTCTCATGACTGTTTTCAAGGATGCTTCCTAGAGGTGGGAGGGTGAAGAGCCTTTGGTTCTGTTTGTTCATGGATATGTTCAGGTTTAAATTAGATAACAAATCCTAAACAACTAGCAGCGTTTATAGTACCATACATCAAAGGTCTAGTATACTGTGGCTGTTACATTATTACAAATACACACTTCAAGAGACTAAATCACAGGCTTGTTGACAGTTAAACCTATCAATTGCAAAAAGGGAGATGGAGAGTGGGGATGATACATCAGCACCCCTTCCCTTTTATAGACTTTGTAAGAGATTTAGACACTCACCAATAAAGCCAGCATAGAGTGTTTTGAATGCCCATGCAGTCACAGTTGGTAAGTACTGCACTGGCCAATGCTGACTTTAATTACTAGCAAAGACAGGGCTGTGGTCTTAGCTGGACAGAAGGACAGAAGAACAGAAGGACAGTGTGAGTACATGTGAGATGTGTACAGATGTTGAAGATGAAGCAGATTTAAAGCACTATATATTCTTTACAGTTAACACAGTGAATATGTTAGTTGAATGACTCCAATCGCCAACATGTCCCTAACACCAAAAGGCTTGGGACTCTGGCTATAGTCCACAGCACTGCTGTTTAGGTCACAAGGTCCTTTCCCACCAGTTGCTGTGTACCTTAGAATGTCAGGGACCAGCTGGCGGGCTTGCTATTTCTGTGCATAGGATGTGAATGTACACACAGTAAATTAGACCAGGATGTGAGTCAGATTACATCCAGTGTTGAAAGAAACTGATCTTCAAAGCATACTAGAAGCACCATACCAAGTTTCATCACCACCACGAAGCAGCTATCGTTTGAAGGATACGTAATTACTATACAAAAGAGAAACTATAAGATTATGGAAGGTGAGCATCTTCCAAAGGCTTGACATTGGGGATGAAAGGAAGATAAGGTGGAAGCCACACTGTGGAAGCCCTAAAATTCTGTGGTAAAAAGATTTATAAGGGTCACATATTTCTCCAGAATACTTAAGCAGTAAACAGTAAACTAAGATAGCTCAGAAAAACTGTAGAAGTTGCTTCCCCCCGCCCCCGAAACAAAACACTTTACCAGCCTTTCAGATTAATGGTGGAACTGGAGTGTGTGCTCAATCCCACAGGTATGTGGACATGCCCATGTATGTGACAGCCAGAAGATAATGTTGGCTGTCATTCCTCAGGTGCTATCTACTTTGTTTCCTGAGCCAGGGTCTCACTGGCCTTAGACACATAAGATCCTATCTCAAATAAAACCAAAATCATCTCTGGGTACTACAAAGCTACAAAGATTCACAAAACAAACAAAAAACCTGTAATGCTCTCTATAAGAATGAGTGTTCAGCCGAGCAGTGGTGGCACATGCCTTTAATCCCAGCACTTGGGAGGCAGAGGCAGGCGGATTTCTGAGTTCAAGGCCAGCCTGGTCTACAGAGTGAGTTCCAGGACAGCCAGAGCTACACAGAGAAACCCTGTCTTGAAAAACCAAAAAAAAAAAAAAAAGAACGAGTGTTCATACTATGACAACCACATTATTAGTAAAATAAAATGCATATGCATATGTTCCTTTCATGTTTCCATGGAGACAATTATGACAAAATATCAATTGTAGAACATGTGCTGGGTCAATACATTTCTGTTAGAAATTATGTGTTTAGATACGTAGGAAGAACTGTTCTGACCATGTCAGTTTCTTTATACCTTTACTCATTTGAATTCTTTACAATAGCTATTATTTTTATAACAGAAAACAACCACAAGGATCTTCATGAAAGACCAGTATAAGCCTGCTTTTCTTTTTTTTCCTTAATCATCAGATTCTGTGAAGACTCAAGGTAGTAAATGACACTGTTAATGTCCCTGCAAGAACAGTAAAGAACCATACTAAAGAACCTTGGGAAGGTCTTAGCTCAGGCAGACCCCGCTCTCTGTGGGTCCACAGAATGCCAAAGGAAGGAGGGACACTGGCCACAGAAGCCCTTTAATGCTAGCAAACAGCTTGCATGGACTGAGCAACTACACTTCTGCTTCCTGGACTGTGAAGAGTTCACTGTTGGTCACACTCATGGCTGACTCCAGACTGACTACCACTTAGGTTTAGCATGCGTGGTTTCCCTGGCATGCTGTGCAAAGGGCTGTGAAGCTATTAGCAGGAAGCAATAACAGCAGAGCCCCTCAGAAACATGTTTTCCTTCCAAGGGCAGTATGGTTGAGTAGGTTTGTTTGCCCTATCTCATAACCATAACCTCAGGATCCAACCTGAACTCTTCTGGCCAGGCATTCTCCTCTATGTTGCTCTGTCCTAGGATCTGTCCCATGACCATTTTCTCTAGAAGCGGAGCCAGAAGGCAGCAGTATACCTTTTGCATCCAGTGTCCAGGTCTGGAAACAAACATGGTCTTGTCTGCTAAAGGCTATGGGACCCACGTCATTGTCCAAGCACTTTCTGATCTTCTGATATACAGGCTCTTTCCACATCAGAATTTCCTTTGAGTAATTCTTACTCATCCTTCAGGTCCTGGTTCAAATGTCACTGCCTCAAGAGTACCTCTTTCTATACTCCTGCGCCAGGCCAGGCTCCCTCATGCCTTGATACTGGGATACAGTTGGTGTTTCACCCAATCCTGATGTGGAAAGAGCCTGTATATCAGAAGATCAGAAAGTGCTTGGACAATGACGTGGGTCCCATAGCCTTTAGCAGACAAGACCATGTTTGTTTCCTATTTAGTTCTACGACAACATGAAGGGTGTCTTCTTCATTTCTACTTCCTCAAGGACAGGAACCATGCCTGCTTCTGCTGTGTTCCCATCATGGGATAGAGAGCATCTGCCTAGTAAAAGCTTCCACAGGGCAAGATGATTCAGGGGCTCCTGGGGTAAAATCCATAACAGTGAGAGAAATATATGTGTCCAGGTGAACAATTACCAAGGGTAGTCCCCTCTTGAATGCTGCAGATTCACCTGAGCTGAGTACTAGCTAAAATGGCAGAATCTATGACGCCTCTTCACTTGCTTCTTGGGGCTTCTTTGGCTGCCTAGGATACTGTGGGAGGCCCTGTCCTGGAGGATGGAAAGAATGGGCTGGGAGTAGAAATGCTCTGCTCATAGCTGAGGGGCCTCATACACTCTGGAGAGGGTGTGAGGGGCAGCTGGGGCACTGACCTCGGCTGATGCGCTGCTTCTCCCCAGATAGGATGCCAGGGCTGTCAATGATGCTGATGCTCTTCAGAACTTGGTTGGGCAGCTGTGAGCACATGAATCTGGAAGAGACAGAATAAAATTGGAGCCAGAAACTGGACCTTTCAGAAGTCTCTAACTGTGAGCTCTCCACTCACTGATGTCTGTAAACAGAGCTAGACAGAGACTATAGATACCTGTGAAGTGGACTGTAAAGCAGGGACTTGGAAGAAACTGAAGGTAACTTCACTGGGGCCACAGAACAGACACAATTCCACAGACAGGTGTGGAAGATGAGCTGCAACGCATTTCTACCTGCCACTTGTTCCCTTAGTGTTAATTGTGGTCTATTTATCAAACACTTGGATATATTACAAATATTACCACTTTGATCCCTAAATTGACATCCTTCTATGAATCTCACAAAGGTTAAATAGCTGAGACACTCACAGTTGAGCCGTAAACTCTGTCTGATTCTTACCCCCATATCCCCACCCCATATTCCTACCTCTCCTGTCCTCACCTCCTTGTCCAAGCATCCTAAGTTTCTGTTGCCTCCTTCAGGGTGCACTTCTCCTAGACTAGAATATCTGAGTCTGTCCTATCCTGTCCACTGCTCTGCAGACAGCTAGATGTTCAGGGCTGGTGTCCCCTTCTGATGCTCCAATGACCCAGCATGTAGTCCAAAGACCCTGTGCTTCAAGCTCAGCAAAGGTCAGGTACCTCTGGGTAATATCATCCCTCAGATGCTTAGGAATCTTCAGGCAGTTCTGAGAATAGGTGAGGAGATGCAGTCAACAGAGGTCCTGACCATCTTCAAGCCTCTTTCCTAGTCTCTCTCCCTTGCTACCACCTCCTCCTTCTGACCAGCCACCTCCTCCCTCTGACCAGGGTGCCTGTTGCTTTGCTTCCAGTTATCTGCCCAAACAACTGGGAAGCAGAGTGGGTGGAAGGAACATTTTGACTTGTGCTCTAGCAGACTTGGGCTTAGAATCTCTTCAGCCTTTGTCAATAATTTTCTCTGAGACCTTAGACAAAGGCCTTTCCCTGTGGACCTCAGTTTCCTTCTAAGTAAAGGGAGACAACTAAACAGAATTTGCCCTGTCCTTGGGAGCTTTCCCATTGTGAGGCAATGAGTAATAGCAGGAAGTACCTTGTTACTTCTACCCCAGGCAAAGAGCCTGGTTTGGATCTTTGTTAGGTCTGTGTATGCTTTAAGAGGGAAACAGAGTGCCTCCCCTCTTCCTGTTTTAAAAGTGCCTGACTTCTGTATCTGTGTGGGCAGAGGCTTGAAAACACTTGGGAACAGCTCAGTTCTTCCATTCAGTGGAAGTGGTGGAGATTACTCAGAAAGTAAGTATGTTGGGAATGCAAGACAAGGCACAAGGTGGCCTCACAGCCCCCACAGCTGTGACCGGAGCTGCCGTGCACAGGGGAGGACACTCAGGACCAAGGTGCCATCACTGACACTCATGAGAACTGTCCTTCAAGCGGCTCAGGAATAGATAGTCACACATTCTTTTCTGTACTTCCAAATCAGTCCAAGAGATGAAAGCAAGGCAATTCTGAAGCACAGAACAGTTATGACATCCTGGGGTCTTACAATAATGTTTGGCTGGCAGGAAACTACAAGCTAGTATCTCCCAAGTCAGATTAGTACAACTCAGTGCATAAAGTTGAAAACATCCATAATGTTACAAATAAAGCCAAGTACATGTAAGAGAAACCTTTCATTCATCTTCTCTGGCCCCTCTCACACCATATGTCCAATTGCGCAGTATGAGCAGAGCAGTAATGTGAGCAAAACACAGGAGCCACTAATCACTGCTTGTTTAGTTCTCAGAAAGAAAAGAACCATAATACTCTGCTCTCTAGAACTGGGGAAGGAACAGAGCTCTGAGCACAACTTGGTGGACACTGTGTCTTGTCAGTCTATCTGGGGACAGCTGGCAATGTTAAACATGCCATATCTTTGTGAAACTATTTACACAAACTGTTCTCACAGGAAGGGTGATGTTTCTACAAAACCACAGCCTCACACTCAGTATCAAATTTTCCAAAACACAAAATCACTAGATTTTAGTAAGATGCTAACAGAGAGACTTAATATTCCTATACTGATCACCCCTGGAACTTAAAACAAGAACACGTCAGCAGGTCAGGTGTGTGAGCCACAGAGCAAGAGACCTACCGCTGAGCTATCTCCACACAGCAGCAAGGAGAACTGCCCAAAAAGGAGACTAGCAGAGCTCCAGGGGCACTGGAAAAGGGGCTGCAGAAGCCGGTGCAGGACTGGACTCCATTCTATCAAAGAAACTGTATGGGGTGGGGCAGTGCCAGAGGGCAGAGAGTACAAGCAGGCACTGGGTACTGAGGGTGCCACAGCAGGTATTGCAAGGTTCAGTCTACACATTTAGGCGTGTTCCTAAAAGCACACTCAGCTGTAATCAGGAACCCCTAAAGTTATCATGGCAGTCACCGCTTACCTTTCCATTCTGGGAAAGGAAGGTGAAAGGCAAGATTTGTCATGCCCCTCACAGGAGGACAGGTCAGGAGTTTCTGCTGGAACATTTCCAAGCAGAGATTTGCTGTCCTAAGATGGATTTCCTGCTCTTTCCTGGAGTGACTAAATCAGTACAGACACCTGGCCTCCTCTATCTCACACAAAATGCCGATGTGCTGCAGAGATCCAGGACCTCCCTTGGCTCCCACAAGCTCCTCCCATCGAGCTGATGAACTTTGTTTCCCAAGGTAAAAGAAGAAAACGATCAAGATCTTCACTGGACCCCAAGTCTTGTTATTTCCATGTTTAGGGAAAGTCAAGAGTAGCAAAGGGACAGAGGAAAAAGTGATAGCATCATAAGGTCTCACGCACGTTGCTAGTTCTGCCTCGAAGGAACACAAGGCAGTAAGAGCATTAGGTTACTTAAAACTGCCTACAAAAGCTAAAATTTCAAGTTAATGATTAATGTTTAAAAAATAAATTTGGGCTGGTAAGATAGCTCAACAGATAAAGGTGCTTGCAGCCATTTCTGATGACCTGAGTTCAATCCCCTAGACCTACATGGTAGAAAAAAAAGAACTGATTCCCATAGGTTGTTCTGTGACCTCCTCTCATTCACAGTAGCACACATTCCCTCTCCTGCCAAATAAATAACTATTTAAAAAAATTATAAAACTAAATCTGTAGGCTGAATACTGTGACTCATACCTGCAATCCAAGCATCTGGGAGACCTGGGAGGTAGACTGGGGGACAATCAGGAGACAGGATTATCTTCAGCTACATAGTGAGTTTGAGGCTAGCCTGGGATACATGTGACATCTCCTACCCCTTTAAAGCATAAAACAAACAAACAAAAACTAGATTTATAAAATAATTGGCCAGCACCTTAATACTGATTTTGATTTTTCAATGGAACAGCAAGGTTTATAGCAATTATGATAATATAGCAGTGGTGGCGCACGCCTTTAATCCCAGCACTTGGGAGGCAGAGGCAGGCGGATTTCTGAGTTCAAGGCCAGCCTGGTCTACAGAGTGAGTTCCAGGATAGCCAGGGCTACACAGAAAAACCCTGTCTCGAAAAAACAAACAAACAAAAAAATTATGATAATATAGCACCAGTACTGACCAATCCCTGACCGAATGTCAGGCCTGCTTTACTTTATATGTTCATGAATTAAATCCTTACTGCAATTGGAGAGGTCTTACAAAAGGGCAGACTGGGGCTTGGAAAGTCACATGGTCTCACTTGTCCTAGTCCACCAGTGACAAGTGACAGTGCTGAGATGTAAGCTGGCAGTCCTCGGTGGATCTTAACACATGGCTACTACTATCACTGCACACATTGGAATTACTGCTGAGTCTCTTCGTCACACTCAAGGTAACGTACTGAAACAAAGGGCTGATGTACACTGCCCTGGGGCTTCCATGTGCATACTCTAGCTAACGGTGTGGAGGGTTAGGACAGTTGTGAACAAGAGAGATGTGCACGGTGAGCGCGCTCCCTTGCATAGGTCTCTAAGCCTCTCTAAGCAACTCTACCAGGCTTGTCACTGAGCTTAAGTCAGAACAGTAAGAGAGGCTGGAACAGTTTCAAGGTGCTTCCTTTAATCTTACTTGCTTTACCAACAAATATAAACCCAAAGGTTAGATGATGTGGGTAGAAAAATCTACAAAAAGACCCAGACAACTAAATTATCTCACAGCCCTGCTATAAATGACTGATGTAACTTTCTAGTACCAGGGAGACGTGACATTCACATTTAGACTACATAAATGGCTCTCTCTTGACGGCCATGGAGGGAAGCCAGAAGCAATATGCCACCTTAAAATGATCTGCCCAAACCCAGAGAAAAAGGTACATTTTCTAAAATGCCAGAACCAAAATCATATAAGCAACTGTCAACCAGAAATAATGGTTTGGCATCTGGAGAAATGGCTTGGTGGTTAAGAGCACTGGCTGCTCTACCAAAGGACTTAGGTTTGAATTCCAGAACCCAGGGGATGGCTATTAACTCCAGTTCCAGGGTATCTGAAGACCTCTTTTGGACTCTGTTAGCACCAGGCACAAATATGGCACACAAACACACATAGAGGCAAAACATCCATGTATATAAAATAAAAATCAAACAACAAACTGGGCAGTGGTAGTGCATGCCTTTAATCCCAGTAAGTGACAGAAACAGAGAAAGAGAAACTAAAAAAATTAACTTCTTTTGTGAAAAAGTCATTAAAATTATACTAGATGCTAAAACTAAAAACTATCTGTAGTTTAAAAATACTGTTGTTTTTTAGAAAAGTAAGCTGAGGGAAACCCATAGTATATAATTTATAGTAGACTCCCAGAGGAGAATGTCAGGCACCAGTTCTTGACACTTTTAGAGCTGACTGAAGACACTGGTGTCTTTCAGGACTCATATATAGGGTGCTATGGGCAGTGTCTGTTTGTCCTCTGTGAACTGCCTCCTGATAGACGCTGGGATAGCAACCCCAAAGCACAGCTCCAAAATGGGATGCAGTGAGAATCCCTCAGATGAGGCAGCTTGGTGGAGGGAGGTTGAAACACTGATTGTTAAAGCCTCATTTCAATCAAACACTTTTGTTCTAGACTTAGCTCTTCCTTGTACTGTTCAAGTATGCTGTTTCCTAATTCAAACCGGCCTTTTCAGGAGCTCAGCTCCATTTCACTGAAATGCACCACAGACTCATTGTCTCTAAACAATCAGCCTAGGGGACTAAAGTCCCCAAGATTTGCTTAATGGCAAAGGTGCTGTCATCCTACAGACAGCACTTGATTTTAAGCACCCTAAGAGGTTCTTAACTCTTTTAAAGATGCCCTTGGGAGCAGTGGCTAAAGTCATTAGAAGCACCCCCCCCCCTCATCAAGACTTGGGGAGAAAGCTCTACCCAGAAAACAACTGGTTTTCCTTCCTATTATATTTTGACCTAGTTGCCAGAAAAAGTGTGTCATGCTAAGAGTTCCTGTCTTTTGACGATAATCCTGCTGTATCCCAGAAAGCTGCTACACACACACACACACACACACACACACACACACACACACACACACACGACAGGTGCATTGTCATGCAGATACCACTTAATTGGGCTATCAGCACTGTAGATTTCCATGAGGCACATCTTGTACCTGTGAGCCACACACAGGCACAGCCACCAGGATGGCTTGAAAGTCAGACATTCCTCATTGCTGGGGCACAGGGTGGCAAAGGGTAGGAAGAGGGAAACTTGAATTTCTTCAGCAAATCGCTTCTTTGTTTCTAGTTTTCTTATTTGTGAATTGGCCATTGTATTCTCTGTAGAGAATACACACAAGTAGAGTGCTGATAAAATTATGCAAACTATACCTTGGGAGATAGTATCTTCTCCGTTGTCCTCACTGCACAGCTATCCTGAAGTTAATGGAGGCAGTAGACAGAGTTTAAACACTGCACCCCTGGCCAGCTCAGCACTGTGGTCTCCAGGGCTCAGGCCTGAGTTCTAACCCTAACACTGCCCCTAGGCTGAGTGACCCCCAAAGACATGATTTTATCCCCACTGTTCATCAGTTTCTCATCACTGTAGCCACACCATTCATCTTCATAAGGACTTAAAGTTAATGTATCTCAGCTTTCCATATTGCATATACAAGTAATGTTAGTGCTGGACATATGTTGTATAGTTGTTTGTTTTTTGTTTTTCTATTTTCCTGGACTCAATATGTGACTATACAATGCATGGGTTATTTTCAGTACATTTTAAATTCTAAGATCGTAAAGCCTGCCATTTAAGTCTCTCGCCTATACTTTTCTTCCAGACTCATCTACTCTAAGTTTGAGATCTAAAACATATTACTTCAGGAAAGCAAATCATTTGAGAAAGTAAAACAAACCAATAACCATTCCTCCTGCACATTTCCTTAGAAGTATTGACTTTGCTAAATGAGAATTTGAAAAGAAAAATTCAGCTTATTTTTCTTTAAGGTTTTGTCAGGAAAAGAAAAAAAGCACACACACAAAAGGCAAGGACAATGAATGTTAGGATTCTAAAGCAACCTTCCAGGAGGAAGGCTGCTGGGGCTGCCTCTGTCTAGGCCAGTGATGGGAGAAGTCGCGTTGTTGCTTGCCCCATGTCCTGCGCACCCAGAAAGGACCTGATTGATGTGCTGGGGGGGGGGAGGGAGTTCATGTGTGCATGTGTGTCTTGCCTTGCCTCAATCAATTTCCTTGAACTTGGTTCATTCACTTTGTCCTGAGATCCTCAATACGTTGAGTTTTTCCCCTGGGTCCTAGGCTTATCTACTGCACAAGGAGACATTGTCACTGGTCTAGAGTTAAGGCACAGCCTCTCCTGAAGAAGAGACTGTGCAGGGGGAAACCATCTGGACAGTGCTCTGTAAGTCACTGTGAGCGTCAAGAATAAGCTTCTGCATGACTCCATCTATATGCTCCGCACACTCCTGCCTGACCCATTGCCAGTCCTCTTGCTGCTCATCAAGGTGCTCTCACTGGTTTGCGACAGGAGCATCTGAAAGCCTTTAAAGGGGCTCAGCACATAGAAGGAATCTTGGAGGCTGCTTGGACTCTCAGAATAACCACTGTCCAAGTGTTCATTCCTGAGTCCTCATGAATGGAGCCTCCCAGGCTCTGACAGGCAGCAGAAGGAGGGGCTGTTTATTTTAAGAAACATCTAGAAAGGAGAAGTGACTTCAGGTCTCCTGCTGAGCCTCAGTGCCAGCCCTACTTCCTCTCCATAGCAGCTGGAGTTGGCCCTCCACTTCTAGCTGATGGCTGGCCCCCATTCTCTAAAGCCAGACTCAGAAAAGAGGAAAAAGAGGGGTGTGGAGGAATGGCAGGAAAGAAGAGGAAAGGGTTTTTAAAAAGGAAACACACACACAACAAAAGCAGAAATTGACAAATAGCATTACCTCAAACTAAAAAGTCTCTGCACAGAAGGGAAATAATCAACAGAGTGAAAAACAATCTATATAATGGGGAAAACGTTCATCAGGGTGTTGATAATCTAGACTATATAACAAACTAAAAGTAAAGACAACAACTCTCAAAGACCCAATAATCCATTAAAAAAAATGGCCAAATGATCTCAAAAGAAATAAAAATGTCGCCGGGCGGTGGTGGCGCACGCCTTTAATCCCAGCACTTGGGAGGCAGAGCCAGGCGGATTTCTGAGTTCGAGGCCATCCTGGTCTACAGAGTGAGTTCCAGGACAGCCAGGGCTACAAAGAGAAACCCTGTCTCGAAAAACCAAAAAAAAAAAAAAAAAAAAAAAAGAAATAAAAATGTCAGTTGAACACATGAAAAAAGGCTCAGTATCAATAACCATCAGGGAAATAAAAATCAAAACTGCAATGAGATCCCACTTTGCTCCAGTTAGAATGGCTTTTATTTAGAAGGCTGGTGATGATGTGGAGGAGAAACGCACCTTTATGCACCGTGGTGATGTCAGGTGGGGCAGTCACTATGGAAAACGTATAGTATCCTCAAATAACTAAGAACCACCTATCACTTGCTATCTCACTCCTGTGTAGACAATACACCTGAAGAACTGAAACTGGATGCACAGGAGATGCTTGCACAGCCATATTTATCGTGGCACTGTTCACAGCTAAAATATGAAAGGTCAGGTGCCCATCAACAAAGGACAAGGTAAGAAAATATGGTAGTCAGTCCTGGGGCATAACTGCAATTTTAGCTACTAGAAGATAGAGGCTGGATGACCTCAAGTTCAAAGCCTGCCTCATCTACAGAGTAAGTTCAAGGGCAGCCTGGGCAAGACCCTGGCACCCCCTCCAAAAAAAAAAAGAAGAAAAAGAAAAAAGGGGACTGAGGATATAGTTCAGTGGGAGAACACATGAGAAGCCCTATGTTCAATCCCTAGCCCAGTACAAAAGAAAAGAAAAAAAATGTGAGATATATATATATGTGTATATATATATACACACACACACACACACACAGACACACACACATGCATGCAATAGAGTATTATTTGGCCATGGAAAGAAAATCTTGCCAGGCAGTGGTGGCACACGCCTTTAATCCCAGCACTTGGGAGGCAGGCGGATTTCTGAGTTCGAGGCCAGCCTGGTCTACAGAGTGAGTTCCAGGACAGCCAGAACTACACAGAGAAACCTGTCTCGAAAACCAAAAAACCAAAAAAAAAAAAAAAAAAAAGAAAAGAAAATCTTGTTGTTTGCAGCAAAATGGAATCAGAGGATATCATTCATATTAAGTGAAATAAGCCAGATACAAAAAGAAGAGAATTGCATGTTCTCTTTCATATGTATTAGAACTAAACAAACTAAAGAGAATAAAGAAAAATTCCTAGGTGAGGGGAGAAAAAAGGAAAGATGGAAAGGAGGGAAGGAAGGAGGGAGGGCACAGTGGACCAGAAAGGTCAGGACCTCATCCTATTGTGGAGCTGCAGCAGAACGCCTGTCATTTGTTCTCCCTCCCCCAGTAACACCTCAGCTGCATTGGAAAGTCTGCTGACAGACAACCGGGGTTGGGGCACAGACAAAACACACCTCCAATCAAGGCAGAGCAACCCACATCTATCGATACCGTGCCCTGCTCCTGGGAATAAGGAAGGAGCTCAAAGCTTAGGAATGAAAAGTTAACGGAACATTCAGGAAGGTAATGCAACCTATCCTGAATCAAAAGACCAAATCTGGAAGTCAGGGGACCTTAAGTCTTCTCTGGGCTAAACTTCCTGTGTATGGAAAGCCAGGCATACCATACCAGAGAAGTGGCTGTCCACAGCTACTCAGCACTACTAGTGACAGAAATTGAGCAACCTTAACTATTTCTGTGTAAATCACATTATTAGCCATTTGTCCTCATACTGGGGAGCTATAATGCCCATCCTTGGGCCTTGGCTATGCTCAATCAAGTCACTCAGAACAGATGTGAGTAAAATATAACTGGTTAGCATCTCCCGTCCCCTCACACACACTTTCCCCTTCCAGAACAGACATGCTCTGTCTTGTCTGGACTCCACAAGTGATAGGCAATAGTTTGACCAGAAGACAGCTTGCTGGTCCTTACCTGTTTAGGAAAGCATTTCCAAAGCGACTAAGCTTTCGGAATGGCTTTTTGGGATCCACAACTAATGCATTCCCAGGGGTGCTTCCCTCAGTCTCCCCGTACATCACAGCAATGAAGGAATCTGTGGTTGGCTCTGGACCAATTCTCATGCCTGGGAAATCTTGCTCCAGTAAGTATCTAGAAAACAAAAGAAAACAGCATGATGTCACAAACAAGAAGGCAGAGAGCTGCCTGGGATTACCCAGGTTAGACACACTTATTAAAAATCTTGGAAGATCAGTGGCTCAAGGTCATCCTTCATTACATACAAGTTTGATGCCAGCCTAGATTACATGAGACCTTGTCTCAAAAAAACCAAAACAACCCAAAACCAAAAGTAGACATTTGAGGTCCCACTGACATAACAGGTGCCACCTTAGGAGAGGCATTACCCAGTTACCTCACCAATCCTACACATTCTAGACTACTGCTGAACTCACTCCCCTTAGAAAAGTGTCCCTGGTCCGTATGTGCAGCACCTTCTGTACGGTCCCCAGGCACCTTATGTCAGTTGCCATTATGGTGTGTTAGGTGTCCTGGGAATCACCAGGGAATGAGCCAGGGTCAAAGGGAGAACTGCATGAGTTTCTGCAGCTCCCCACTCCAGCACTAAGCCATCTTTGTTCTATAAATCCTGACTAGTCAAATGTATCCTGTGACTATTTCTGGGGATAGAGAGAAAGAACTGAAAGTCAAATGTCAAACACAATTTTACCATCATTATGAGGAGAAGTGAAACTTCTTTTTTGTATAAACAAAATGAAAATTAAGCAATATTAGTAGGCTTTACTCTAAACCTTTTCTGTCATTGCTACTTTTAACTTTACCCAAAGTTTTTACATTTCTGTGAAATTGCAGAGACCCAGAATAGATGCATTGTTTTAAGACGTACTGTAAGCTAAGAGTAATCATGAAAAAAATCTGGTAATAACTACTAGCATTTACTGAAAAGACATAAAGCCTTATACATGCAACATGTCTTATATATGCACTATGCCTTATGCATGCACTGTGTCCTATATATGCACTATACCTTATGTATACACTGTGCTTTACATATGCACTATTAACTTATACATGTACTATATCTTATGTGTGCACTATTGTTTCATTCAGTTCCTACAACATTTTCAGGTGAGTAGTAATACTATTCTCATTTTACAGGTAGGAAAGCAGGTATCAGAGAGGCTAAGCAACTTGTCTAATATTATACAGTGAGTGAGTGAGTGAGTGAGTAAGTGAGTGAAAATGGAACTCAAGCAGTCAGATTTTCAGATGTGTGCTGTCTTCAGAGCTTTATACTTTCCCTGACACTAGTGGCTCTCTCAGATAAGCAAGGACATTCAGGATATAAGCCTTTGAATAAGGACTTTCTATTTCCTTTAATGAGAGATCAAAGGGGCTCACCACACTTCCCCCCCCCACAATCCCCTAGACTCCCCAAGGACATAGGGCCCATTGCCTCACTCTCCTTGAAAAGAAGGTGAAGCAAGAGCATGCTATTGATTCAAAAATATGCCTATATTTAATATTTTTCAAAATATGAGAATCTTTTCTCATCAAAGTCTTAGTGTGCCTTAGTCTTAGCACAGTCGACAGCTTTAGGAACAGAAATGTCCACATTAGTTAATTCTTACACAAATCAGACAGACAAGAGCTCTGAGATGACCACACAGTGAGATCAGTACATATTTCACATACTAACTAGTGTGTAATGCAGCCACTCTGAAACCTCAAGTCTAGTCATTGAACAGCAAAGCTAGAGTTAAAAGCCAGGCTGTACCATGGCGATGTCCAGTTTGGCTTTCACCCCCCTTGGCCTGGATGAGGCTAGGCAGGGAGGGAGGGAAGGAGGGAGACAACTGTGCAAATGGCAAACTTTGAGCTAATAGCTGCTAGGTTTGCAGGATTCCTGGGGATACACAGCTTCCAATTCACAAAAGGGTCACGTCCAAGCACTGTTCTGACACTTGAAGGTAATAGGGTCAATGTTTACTGGGGGCGTCACTGTCCCATCAGCTTTGGGGGAGGGGACCTTAGAGTTGAGCTCTATCTCGAGTGCCTCCTTAGACTGTGGCTCTTCTCAGTGCCTTTAGTAGACCTTGTCAGGAGAGACCTCCAGGGTCCACACCAGGGCTGGTGAGAAAGGGCTTCAGGTGGGAACACAGAGATGCTATATAGACTGGACAACTCAGGGCTGTTTAAGTCAGACACTCACTGCCAAGAGGAATCTAAGCTCCTGTCTACTGTTTAATTGACTTGAAATCACAGCAAATCTCATAGACTGTGGAATTAAACAGGACTTTCAAAGAAAACTCCAATGGTGAACTTGTTTAAAGGAAAGCAGGTATTCTGTCTTCTGAGTTTATAAAGTAATAGAAGCCAAAGTTTCCTCAGCAGCAACCCTGCCAAGAAGAAGGTTAACAAGCCCCTATTACTGAACTGCAAACAGGAACTACCTTGACTAGGGTGCCCTCAGCTGAGGCCTTGATGAAGCATTCAGGCTTTAGCTTTCGAACACAGATAAGAACAAGGGAGGATTACTGTACTGTTTCCTTAAGATATGAAATTGTTCAGTGGTACTCTCCTATAGGTACTAATTATCCACACTCAGTGCTCAGTTTCATATCAATGAAGATCCAATGAAAAGACACAGAATATTAGTAAAAACCTTCCATATACTCAATGCTGGTGAGCGTCATGAAATCTACGACTTTGTGTAGCTGCAGGAATGGTTGGTTCAAAGGCACTCACACACTTCTTCACATAACAGGCACTTAAAATGAGTCGCCTTCATGGAGCCGGCCCTCTCCTACCTACTGTGGAGGTCATCTGTGGGCCTGCTTTCTCTCCCTTGTGAACTGACACTCAGATGTACATCATACTGTTGGGCAGGCAGTCACATGTCTATGTAGAAAGAGAATCAAAAACAATCAAGATACAAATGTCTGACATGACAAAAGTAACCCTGAAGAGATGAGGCTAAAATCAGCAGCCTGGGAGGGGACAGTAGACCCTAAGGTGACATACACAGGCACTTTAACCTCACAGACCCCAGTATAAGGCTAAGCCAGGTGTCAAACCCTTCTCTGAAGATCTCAAAGGATTTACCAAAGCTGGCGTTCCAGGGATTCTGAGGTCTTATCTGTGATAACAAGAGTTGAAAGGAACACAAGAGCCAACAGGAAAACTATAGAAAAGAATCCACTGTGGTACAGAGCAGAGCAGAGCAGCCCACTCCACAGGCATCCTGTGCCTTAGAGGCTTGATGTCTGTCCTTGGCACCACCTTGCTCCGTTTCCTGTGTTCTCAGAGAGGCCTGCCAATTCTAGTGATGATTGTTCCAAGGTCTTGAGTCAAGCCATCAGTGAACGTAAAAAGGTACAGACATTTGAACCACATGTGTTTGGGCGGAAGTGGTGAGGGTGGACAGGAGACCTGACCTCTCTATGTCCTGGTCTGATGAGGTCACTGCACGTAGATGGTGTCTTTTCCTTCATTGCTTAGGCTAGAGGAGGAAAATTAATTTTAAAGGAAAAGATCATTTGTGACAAAGGGAAGAAAAAAAAAAACCTTAGGATAATGAAAAGTCCTTTACTGTAATCCATTTGAGTACCATTTTCTCAAAGATGGGCTTAAGGGGGGAAAAAAAGACATTATTTAACATTTTAAAAACAGATGTTATTTACCCTATCTGCCAGCTATGACTATTGTCACTTGGGTATTTCTCATGCATTTTCTCTGGGTTAGTACTTTCACATTTCTCTATTTTGTTTAGTAATACACTCTACCTAATATTGGGGACATGTTACATGCCTCAATTGGTAAATACCTTATGGGTAAGCACTATTTTCTTCCCTATTTTACAGGTGAATACACTACGGGTCGAATAGGTTAACTGAGTTAAATCAGAATTAGAGAGGCTGAGTCACCACCAATGGAGGCATTTACAGGAACACGCTCCATGAGTCACAAGGAATGTTCAGACAGAGATCATAGTAAGCAGGTATTCAATGAGTTAGGTATACTAAAAATATTCCACATATATTTGGGGTATTGCTTGAGTATTAGTTTAACATTCTGAAGCTAAAGTCTACAGATACAGCTTACGAAAACATAAAGTATTTAAAGAAACATTAATATACATACTGGCATCTATGCAGTTTCTATTCATTATTATGCTTCAAACACACCTTAAGAATCATTTGTTTAAGAGAGAGAGAGAGAGAGAGAGAGAGAGAGAGAGAGAGAGAGAGAGAGAGAGAGAGAAACTATGTGCCACATGTGTAACTATGTGCCACATGTGTAAGTGGAGACCAGAAGACTTTTAGGAATTGACTCTCTCCTTCCATAATGTGGGTTCTGGGGATTGAAGTCAGATCATCGGGCTTGGTAGCAAGCACCTTTCCTCACTGGGCCATCTTGTTGGCCCACTAAAACACTTCTAAAAAGAGAATTAATTTGGGGGCTGGAGAGATGGCTCAGTGGTAAAGAACACTTACTGTTTTGGCATGACTAGGGTTTTGTTCATAGCATCCACATAGTGGCTCACAACTGTCTGTCCAGGAAATCCAACACCCTCTTCTGGCTTTCAAGGGTATCAGACGTGCATGGTATACATGAATACACAGAGGCAAACCATACACATAAATAACAACAACAAAAAAATCTTTAGAAGAGAAGAGGGGGAGTTAAACTAACTCAAATAGTTGCCTCAATCCTTTGGCTCTTAATAAGGTTTTATTTGTTTATCTGTATTAATTGGGATTAAACCCAAACCAGAAACATACCAGGCAAGTACTCTACCACTCTACCACATACCCAGCCCTACTAATGTGGAGGTCTCTGCAAATGCTATGACTGGCAGAGGAATGATCCTAACTGGCAAGAAGCAAATTTGGTTCAAAAGTACTCAGCAGCTGGTGTTGGTTCAAACTTGTAGAGTTTAATAAATCAAGCAGTTTATTATAGCCGGGATTTAAGCACAACACAATTTCGGAAAAAGAGTTCCTTGATAATTAACTCAGGCCCATGTGTACAGCAAAGCTTAAGCGTGTTTACACGGGAACTCTTTACAAGCACATAATGGTCTCTTCCAAAAGATAGCTTCTGTTTACTCAGAAACAATGCTCCAGCCA